GCAAGATTCAACCATGGCTTTCCACAGCCGTCCTCTTATCTCGATTAGTCACACAAATCCCACCAAACTCTTTAGTGAGGCTCAACAAGTATTAGGGCCACGCGCATCGCTTTCCGACTGCCGGGAGGAGCTGTGTACAGACAGGCGGTTTTGTAAAAAGAGGAAAAGAAGGAAAAAAAAAAAAGGCAGGAAATATTTAGGGAAGCAAGAAAATAAGCTCACCCCTTTGAAAGCATTGTTCTGTACGTGGCCTCGTCCAACACACTTGTCAGAGAGACCAGAAGGACGGCGATTCACGGCCCCACTTCTCACCGCAGCCCCGACTTCCTGGCTCGCACTTCCTGCTCCCCTCCCTCCCTCCCCTGTCCCACGCCACCCTGGCAAGCCGGGCTCATCCTGCTCCTCAACGTCCCTCCGATGCATAAAGTATCGCCAAAAATAGTGTTGGGAAGGGCCTTAAACGCCACGTCTGGGACAAGAGACTAAAAATAATCCTCCCTCTAAGCAGACACCCGCTGTCACCGGGCGATGCGGGGCTCTCAGGGCCCCGAAGGGAAGCCTGCTGGAAGGACACGAGTCGTTCCCTGCCCGCGTCGCTCCGGCAGCCCCGGCCGTTCGGCAGAGCTGAATAAAAAGGAGGAGAGAAAAAAGAATCGCCGTGCCTCGCATGGAGTTGTACGTATCTTTGTTCTGAGCGACATTCCTCTCGCCGAGCACAGCCGGCAGCAGAGCGGTCTGCCGTGCTGTAACAATGGACAATTGGAGACAAGCGGCTCGGAGCGAACGCTATCGCTGAATAATCCAATCGCAGCTGTCATCGTTCGTTAGCTCCAATCTCATCAGAACGAGCGAAGTTGGGGCTAAAACCCAGCTCTCCCTCTCCGTAACATTGTGTAACTCCGCACAGCGCATCACCCCCGATATTTCCGAATTCCCGGTCCGCCCGCACGGCTCGACCTTCCCCGGCGGAGCAATGCGCTGCGAGGCGCCCGGCGACAAAAGAAACTCGGGCAAGTTTGAGCCCGGCGCCCGATTTCCTGCCTAAAGAGCCCTTTTGTTCTGCTTCCCTGCAGAAATGTTAATATTCTGCCATCATTAGGAAGCAAAACAATGGAAAAAAGCCCCACGCGCGTGCACTTCGCCGCCCCGGGGGGCGAAGCGCGGCCACACGACGCGATTAGAAGGGGAAAATGCCTACCCACGGATCGCCACAATTTTCTGTTCGCTTCACCCCAGATTAACTTCACTTGGAGCTGTGCTGCGGAGCAACCGAGCCTGGCCGCGGCGCCCCGCCTACCTCACCGCTATTGGACGAGGCGAGAAGGCCCCGCCTCCCCCCGCAGGGTTACGCTCGGCGATTGGCTGATCCGCGTATCCATTATAGAAAGAACTTTTCCTTGCCAGCAGGTTAGGTTGGCCCTCTCCGAGCACTCTGGGCGAGCGGCTTCTTAAAGGGACAGCGCCCCGCGAGGCTCAGCCCCACGCGTGCTCCGCCGAAGCCCCCACGCGATGCGCGGCGCCGCCCCTCCGAACAGCGCGGCGGCGTTGAGCGGCACGGAAGCACGGCGAGTCGCCGCTGCGGCGAACCCGGCCCCGGTCACGCGTGGCACCGTGCGAGACGAGAGGCTCCGTGGGTTCGGGGCCCGGCGACCGGCGCAGTTGCCCCGGGAAGCCGGCACGCCGCCTGAATTAGTAACCCGGCTAAAAATACGCGCGCAGGGCAGTTCCACACTGCGCTCCCGGTTCGAGGCGTGAGTCAGCACGGCGCAGGCAGGAAGCGGCTGCCTCCCGCTCGCGAGGTGCTGCGCGCTGCCAAAACTTTTCGTGCTTATTCAGCCTTCCCCCGGCTCGCCACATCTGCACGGAGCTGCTCGAGCCCTGACGGCCGGCAGCGTTTCCCACAGCACGGCTTCTTCGTGCTGCGCAAACAGCCGGCGCTGCTGTTGTAAGGGTTTCCTTACCCGTCAAATGAACGCACAGGAAGAGTCAAAACGAAACAAAGCATAACAAATATTTCACAAGCACTGATAAATCCCATTGGAGAACAAACCTGGGGTGGGCCAGAGAACCGCAACTTCCCTCATACACCCACCAAGTACCAGCAGTTACACAATACCTCACCAGCAAAGTTGCCTTATATAAAGCAGTTTCAAGTGCTTATTTCTAGGTAGCTACCGATATGAAGCTAGATGAAGCTATCACGCTTGCCTGCATAAACACATTGGGGTTGGCTTGTTGCTGTAGAGAGGAAAAGCTGCTCCTTGTTTCTGCTTCTTCCCACCTCTCCCCAGGCAATGCCTCCCCCACCCCCAGCACAGACACCCACCTTAACTCCCCCTGTGCCAACCACGTCCAGCACAGCTCAGCACGCTGCTGTTCCACAAACACTACCAAAAAGAACGCAAGCACCTTCTGAACGCACGTCTAATTCCCCTTCAAACACTCACATTTGCTTTGTGCTACCTTATATTACAGGCTGATCTGTCGCACCACAAATCCAAACTGAACTGGAAAGCAGCAGTTGTTCAGTTAATGAGCACAAAGCACGACAAGAATGGAGATACCTTTGACAGGATTTGCTAAACTTTCCCTACAGAACTAAAATCTGAGCTGGAAGCATCTGCTGTTAACCCTTATGTTTGAATCCAGTACTTCATAGGACTTCAAGTTATCCCGAAGGCAACCAGGAGACCATACTTTCACAGCACTTCTGACCACAGCTATCAAAGCAATGAAAACCAAGCACGTAGTTCATGCAAATAAAGCATTCCAGCAAAGCGTCTTCCAAGTATCTCAGTGACCAGTCCTGGAAAGCTTCAATTCAGAGCACATTAACTTTAGGCCCATAATAACAACAACAGCAGAAGTTGTACATCTTATCAACAGAACTGCTCAGCGCTAGCAGAGAACGTGACAACTGCAAACACTGCTTTATGACTATCAGGAGGAAAATAAAAATGTTAACCTATAACTAAAGAAGTCTAACCACCTGGCAACTGCAACAGTGATGAGAAATCACTTATCATTAAACATCCTGCACTTGAACTCACATTTCTGTTAACCAGGCAGCCAGTAGCTCCTTATCGCAGCACAAGGGAGAAGTTTCTTCCTCCTTCCTCCCCATCTTTCCCCTCCCAGCCACACAGCCTGGCCTACTCCCTCACCACAGCTCTGGTGCTCATCAGCCCCTTCTGTGCACCTCTGGCTCACTGATCTGGCAGAAGTTTGCTCACCTCCTGATAAGCCAGAGTGTGGCTCACTCACTTTGCGTGGGGGAATGGCAAAGCAGCTTCTCTTCTGTTCAGAACGGACCTCCTTGATTTGCTCACCTAATTTCATTTTAAAGCAAACAAGCAACATTCTACTATCTCACTAAGAATGCCCCAGGAATAATTTGCTATCAGCACAGAATTAATAGATCCCCCCCACAAAAATCTGTGAAACAGGGGGGAAAAAAAATTAAATCAAAACTAGGTTCACAGTTGGCCCGGTCTCACCAAACTGGAAATCGTGGGTACACATCTGTATTCAGATGTTGGAAGTCCACATTTAAAAAAAAAAATTGCTACTCTAGTTATTTCCCATGCTGAAATCTAGTGAAATTCATCACTAAAAAGCCTAATTTATAAGCTCGGTTTCTGAACACAAGTAATCTATTTTCTCTTCAAACTCAGACACTACACAGGAAGTGCAGGGATATCATTTTAAGGTCTAGGCTGAAGTTACGGCTTCGTTACTCTTACAGTATCTGTAGTAATGCAGAAAAAATAAAAATAAACGAGCAGATTGCAGCTGCAAGTACACTAAACAGGGAAGCTTTGACAGCAGCGTAAGAGAGATTCGGTTTGCTGCCACTGAACTTTGTTCTGAGGACAACAACAAGAGAGCACCTGACTCTCATTTGACTATTGTAATCATGGAACAGCTAAAAGCCCATTTGTTCTGTAATTTTAAATATACAGAAGACAGTAAGTTTGGAGGACTTGACAGCTCAAGAGATCAAGACCAGAGCCTTTCATCTTTAAGTCACCAGGTCCAACAGAGACCAGAATAGTAGCAATCAAAAGCTGCATGCGAAGGCTGTGGAGGGATTAGATACAGAGATGGTTACTTGCTATCCGGTTCCCAGATCACTGAATCACAGGAGATTTCTTCACAATTTGCACCTGTTTTCCACAGGTCACAAATACCCAGGACTTCTGGATTTTATACACGTTAATAAGTAGCAAAGCAGTAGAAGTGCTGCTTTGACACACTGAGCTTGAATTGTAAAAGAGGACTTTACCCTCCTGTTGTCAACTGTGTCAGTGTTACAGCATGTGCTGATTTTGTAAAACAACCATAGCTGTCTTTTAGTTTTATTTGAGATACTTTTAAACTAAAAAGTTAATGTTATAATACTTGTTCGTAAGCAGCAGTTCTCAGACTTGCTGTATAAGAGATCTTTGTGCATCAGTTTAAAAGCACATAAGCATAGGAATTTCAGAACTTTGGCATTTGAGAGATGATTTCAAAAGTTAGCAGTTTTACTACACCTAAACAACATGCCTACGTAAGGACCTAAAAAAACACCCCTGCATGATGAAAAACATTCCTTTCCATATTCTTATACATTCTCCAGCAAACCATTGTGCAGCCTCTAGAGTCAGTCAGTCAGGGGTAGCTTCTTTCCAACTTGGTTTTAAAGAGTTTGCAAAAGTGCCTGGAAATGCAAGGCAGGATGGGCAAGTTGAAAACAGGTTCAGAGTGTATGTTGACTGAAGGTTCTGGAGAGCAGGTTCATTGCCCTGGTATGAATAACACTGCTGAAAGTGATCTCCTGCACTACCCCAGCAATACAAAGTTCCATAGCTCTTGGTAGCATACTGCTTCCTGAGAATGATGTTGCTGGTAGCAAGCCAAAGTCCTAGAAACTTCACTGTCCTGAGCAGTAACTAAGGAGGCCCGTGCATATAAAGAATGCAACTTGTTACCCCAGGAGCCCGGGGAGCACAACATACCAGACTGATGAGATTGCAGTAATCTTGAAGAACTTCCTGAGATTTCCCTCGCTGCTTTCGATCCAAGATGTACCACTGCACGGCAATAATCAAACCTGGAAAGAACAGAGAGGTGCATATGGTAAATACCAGGCCTCCAGCAGAGCAGGCTCAGTAGTTGCCTGGACAGCCACAGACCCTGCAGTTCAAATAGCTATCTCAGATCACCCACAGGTGAGCTACCATGAGAACTTATTGAAGTTTATCCACGTTACATTCCAACTGCTTCCTCCTGTGTAGGGAATAAGGCAGTAAGTGAACAGCTTTGATTTTCTTTTTCATGTTTTTCCCTCTCTTTCCTTCTTGCTCCTCTCTTATCTCCTCACATACAAGCTGCACAGCCATAATTGTTCTCAATCACCCAGCAGCTGCCATGCTGATATTATTAAGTTTTTTTAATATATGTATTTTTTAAGATCCAATCAAGGAATTACATCTTGTACGGATGCACAGCTGAGGGCTGCAGCATGAGATGCCACAGAACTCTTTTCAGAGTACCTGAGAAAGGATCCAAAAAGGATTTGGAAAGATTTTTCCTTGTCATCAGGTAACTCTCGGGTGGAAAAACAATAATAAAGCCAGTTTCCACTTAATTCAGCACGCTCCATCTGCATCTGTATATAATCTATAATACTCTCTGCAGCTTGAATTGAGTATGTTGAGCACAAGTCCAAGTCTATTCAGTACTTAATTAAAAAGTGAGCTGCACAACTATTAGCCGACAAGAAAATGGAGCCAGGAGTTTGGGTACTTCTAATCCCCTCCGAAATCAAACTGATTAATACAGCTGTTACAGAAGGACACACTCTTACAGAAACAGGGATTACCTTTATCTGTAACCATGGCAACTTTTCACTAGTTTATGTCAGTGCTGCTCCCCTGATAAGTTGCCACTATCTCTTTCAGGCTATTTGTACAAGGTTTTGTATGCACCATCCGAGACCGTGAAATAACAAGAAGCTAAAACGTAAACTTACTGTTCTTAGATCACTCTCTCCAAGGTGTATTATGAAACACAACGTTTGTCATCCGTGTCAACAACACACGATTAGGTAAGTTGATTTTAATCTGTTATTATTTTAATGATTCCTTGTTTTGTAAGGCAAAAGCTATTTTAAGAGGTATCCTCAGGAGCACACGCAGGATAGAGGAAATCCTTCCCTGCTGAAGACGCTATCAGGAAAGCAGTAAAATCAAGGAGTGCTGCCACTGATGTGTCAGCTTTGATACCCAGCGCCATAAGGAACAAAAAACCAAGCAGGAACACGCTGTTATTTTGGCCAGAATAAATATATTACGGATGAGGCCAGAGCCAGCCCCCTTGTTCGAGGCTGGGCAGTAATTAATAGGAAGAACAGGTGTACGGACTGCAGCAGCACATAAACAAACCAGGCAGAGCTCAAAGCGACAGAAGTTAAAGCAGACACGGGAAAGAGAGCAAGGAAGGAACTGGCAGATTCGCTTCCCCCAACTGCTGAGTTACCACCGTCAGTAGGGGAGGACCAGCTTTCTGCGAAAGGAATCATTTCAGATGACATCAAGCCAAATCACTTGCTTGGAAGCAGGAGGAGGAAAAGAGCAGCTGCTTTCCTCCCCCCTCCACTCCTTAAAGTTCAGAGGGCAGCTCACAGCACTGCACCCTTCCCCGCAGCGCACACGCTTTGGCACAGCTGAGAGAGCACGGAGCCTCAGAAGAAGCAAAGGACCTCTCAACTGCCCGTAACTCTTACGCAACGCCTCCCCGTGCGGGACGAGCCCGGACAGCCGCCCAGAGAACGGACTAGCAGAGCAGCGCGGCGCACCTCGGGGCAGCTCCCTTATCCGCCCAAGGACACGCGTACAAACACCTCTGCCCCGGGACGGCTCTGCGCACGCAGCCCGGCGGCCGCGGGAGGAGGAAGGAACGACCAAAAAAGGGAGAAAAACAGCCCCGAGCGCGGTGGGGAAACAGAACAGAACAGAACAGCTCAGCGCCGAACCGCCGCCCCCACCCGCAGCCGCCGGCCCCGCCGCCCCGCTCTCACCTGCTGCCGCCGCTCCCGGCCCCGCTCGCTCCTCGCTAAACTTTTTCTCCCCTTTCTCCGTGTTTCCTTGCCCCGAGAGTGACGCGGGCGGGCGCTGATTGGAGGAGGCGCCGAAGGAAGGCCTGGAGGAAAGGGGGCGGCGCCGGGCCCGCCGCTAATTAGCGCAAGGAGACGGCGGCGACGTGAACCACAGAATGGTGTTTAAAGGGACCGCGGCCTGTCCCGTGCGTTGTGCCCTTGTGAGCTGCCTGGGGCGCTCCGCCTCCGCTTAGGGTTCTGTCGCGACCTACGATACGTCACACGATAGTGCTTTCTGTGCGGCAATGTACCGCAGCTCACGTATTGCACCTGCACTACAGCCTGACATTGCTGCACCTGCGATAGGGGTCGTGGGGTGACATTGAAGGGCGATGAGCGACTCGGTGGCTGTTAGCAGGCGGGGGGGAGGACGGGATTCCAGAGGGATGAAACAAAGCAAATAAAAGAGGAATTTTATCTCTTGGGCCGAGACCGGGGGAGCTGTGAGGGAGGTCAGAGCAGCAGGTGAGCCGAGTCTGGGAGGAGAAATCCAGGGTTGTGAAGCTCCAGGGAGCGGGGCAGGGCAGGGAGATGGGCAAAACATTTCCATCTCTTATCAGGATGTTTAACAATGTTACAGAAGGCGTGCTTGTTTTAGGGCAGAGGAATTTGAGGCTATTCTGAGATAGGCATTGCAGGAGGACACGGGGTGTCAGCAAAAAGAAAGTCCCAGAAGAGATGTTCTGTTGCTTTTCACTGCCTACAGTGAGCCCAGCAGGCAGACCCATAAGCCTGGCAAAGCACTGAATGGCAAGAAGACCCTTAATTATTATTGTTTTTTTAATATCTGAATTTGGATCAACACTGGAAAATGCTTCTGTGACCGGTGTGGAAATGCTAACATAGTTTTATAGCTATTTTGGTAGAGATTATTCACACTTGGCTGCCTTTGCTGATGCAATACATCTTCCAAGTGGCAGGTTGCATGAGCAGAAGATGACCTGCATCTCATGTGGGTATCACAGCATTCCCCACAGCATTATTTGGAGTGCTTTCATGGTCTTGGCAGTAATCACAAGGAGCTGTGGGGAGTGATGATCACATTCCTCCAAGCCTCTCCGTGGTCGCCTCTTTTATGTAGTTTTTTTTATAAAGAAAACATAAAGCCCCTTGGGTTCATCTCCAACTACTTTATTTGTGCCAGGTTTCATCTCGCTGTTAGAGATATAGAGGTTTACTAGAAGGGTAGAACAAGCTCTGTCTGTTTAGAGAAAGGCCAGCTGATTCTTCTGCAGTTGTGAGCAACCAACACAACAGCTGGCAAGGAATAAAAAGGGAAATGCAGACAGTGAATGAGATGGATACCTCCTGCCAGGAGATATTGACCAGCAACACATGGTGGAACAAATGTTAAGTTATGGCATCAAATGTCAAGGGGAGGCAGCAGAATGCTCAGATGTGATCTTGCTTGATTGCGAATGAAGCTCGTCAATTTTCTGATGTGCCAGAATGAGAAGGCTTAGTCACAGCAGTGCTGGAGTAAGTGGATTTCTTGAAATATTCAGAATTGGTATGTTTGGTGTGGTCAGAAACCACAACTCAAAAGAGGCAAGCAAGTGGAAAATAGGGAACATGGAGTCACATGTCATCTGCAGAAGGGCCTGTAGTCAAACTGTCTCTGAGAGAGAAAAATAATGAAAAAGGTGGCTGAGATGATTGGGTAATGGGATGCAGGCTAAAAAGTGAATGTACATCTTAAACAACTGCGAGTAGAAGGCATATTAATGAAATTGAGTTCAATTTTCTCATTTGAAGACCTCAAGACTGATAGGCCAAAAAAATAAGCGGTGTTTGGAAAGAGGGAAGTGTCTGATCAGGGAAATGAGTAAAGCAGAGAAGGATCTCCTGGACTTGGAAGGGACCAGAAATCAGCTAAAGAGAATGGAAGGTTAAAGGTGGCCAGTAGATGAAAACAAAAGACTGTTTTCTACAGAGCACAGAAAAGAAGTTAAAGGCTATTTATCCACCTCAAGTTGATGATAGCAAAAACTTTGATTTTTGAAGAATACACAAGTGTTAGCAGGACATAAGGTCACTAAAAGCACATGGAGTTTGATAGGCAGTACATGGAGATGAACATCCCAACAACCTCATTCTACCAGACATTTTGCTGTGAAAGAATAGTCAAAAAGAAGCTCCAAGCTCCACACTTTCAAGTGAAGCCCCTAGTGCAAGCTGAAACACCAAAGAGGGGTGTGAAAGGTTTCTCAGGTCTGCAGGTGATTTGATGATGTATGGGAAGATAGAACAACCCACGAAGGTTACTACCTCATTTACAGTGTCACAGCTGAAACAGTGTTTAATCTCCTTGCCTGCATTATTTAGATATTTGTTGCATTTTAAGGTTCCTGTCACCTTGACACTTTGGCACAATTTATTTCCACATTCTTAAGGGCCATCTGCCTCTCTAGAAAACGTATGCAAAAAAAAAAAAAAAAAGTTTCTTCTAATTTTTTACTCCCTTCTTCCTGTTATATTTGATCTATATACCAGCATATAGGTGCTTTTCCTTTGGTTCCTGTTATGTATCCTTCCGCTATAGCAGCTTGTTAGTTCTTCTTTTGCTAAAACTTTGGAAATTACTTGAGGAATCTTAGTAATGTATTCATTTTGAGATAGATGTATCTTCAGAGACAGTAAACAGAAAGTCTCTTCTTCAGTTCAGTGGGCTTTGGATCAGGTGTTCAGTGTTAACATCATTTCAGTTCTTATAACCTAGTTGTTTGGGGCCCAGCATGCAGCCCCTGAGACTGCTGAGGATTTCACTGCGGCATTAATGAGAGAGGAATCAGCTTCTGCTTCCTGAGAGACAGCCTATATAAATCCAAAATAAATAACCCCAAAACTTTCTTGAACAGCTGAGTCTCAAATGAGATTTGATTTCATTCTGAATCTCGATGATTATCTTTCCTCGGTCACCCTGACCTCTGTTCCACTCCATACACTAATGGGATGAGTTGGAGTTTGTTATCCAAACCTACTGGAAATTTGGTCCAATGGTCCTTTGGCAGTGCTCTTTAATCAGCAGCAATGCCAGCTCTCTCTTTGAATGCACACATTCAGAGATTTGTAGAATTAGAATCCAAATCCTGCTTGTATTTGCAAGCCCAGAATGCCATTGACTTCAAGGGGGTTGCAGGAGCTTAGCCAACAGCCAAAATTGGCCCAAGATTTTCAGATTCCCTCATGCTTCTGTTTATACGATGTTATCATCAAGAACTAACAGCAAACTTTATGCTGCATTTCACTTTTATATTACATAAAGGGTATTTACTGTGCTGATGTTATATAGTTTGCAAGAAAGATGCACATATAGAAATTTAAAAAAAAAAATGAAACCAACACTGATTACCATTAGGATTTCCATCTTTCAGTGTGCATTTTCCAAAACAACCCAGAGATTATTTCTCACCAGGAAATGCAGAAATGAAAATCCCATTCCTTGGCATTTCTGTGTGGCATTCTGGAGTCTTACTCATGCAACCTGTGATTAAATGGTCAGAAGAAAAATCAATCTAATAATGTAAAAAAAAGTTAAATGCTGTGCTTTCATTCTCTGTGCACTGGTTCCCCAATCAGATTCCCTCCCTGAAAAATCTTCATGTTTTTGTGCCTCTCAAGGGGCGGGAGCAGAAAACACACTGTGGGAAAAGCTGAATGGTCACAAAGAACTTCAGGGGGAAACAAAGGTAAAGGCTGAGCATGAATGGATCAAACCTGTGAAAGCAGGTAGGTGGGATGCCCAGCAAAGCCCATCTGACTGCCCGACAGCCAGGGCAGCACATCTGCCATCACAGCACTGCCTCAGAGCCAGCTGCCTACTGGCACTTGGAGCTGCGGAGGGGACCTTGCAGCACTGCTGAGTGCCTTGCTTGAATGGGGCACAGCGTAGGATGGAGATGCTGCACAGAGCCCTGTCTGCTCAGCATTTTCCAAAACGAGGCAGCTTGTTTTGCCACACCATTACAAATCTGGGAGCCTCCTTCTAGATAGTCTTGTTTGGAAATCCGGGCTGGGGCCTTTTAAAGACTTAGCAACTCCCTAGTTAAGCTTTTAATATCCACGTTAAATAGATCACTGTGTGTGTCCTGGTATTCAAGAGAACAGTGGGCCATTCTTGGCTGACGAGTGACTTCTACACAAAGAAATTATTTGGTACCTATGTGCTTTTTCTCCTCCTGCATGTGCTTTGTCTGTGCATAGTGCAGTCTTTGAGAGAGGGACTTGTCTAGTCCTTAGCACAGCAAACACCAGCTTCCTTAAGATGCTCCTCAGTCCTCCCCTCATCAACAGCAGCCTCTCAGCCCAAGGGCCTCTGCGTAGGCTTGACTTTCACCTTGCTGTTCTACAGCATTTTATTATTAATCACTATTTAAACTTCAAATCTGGAGTCCTAGATTCTGTAATGCTAAATTATCCATATTCCATGATTGCTAAACCCTTGCCCAAACAGGTGACTGGACAGGATGTCCCATGGGCTAGCGATTGGTCCAGCTGTCAAGCACTAAGCTGTGAGTTTAAAGAGCTGCTCTAGCAGGGCAGCAGCTTCCTTCAGCCACTAAGAATCAAAAGCCTCCATGCACACAAGAAAGCTGCCTGCCTGGCTGAGTCCTGGTCCTCACAATTCAAGGTGAGCAAAATTGCTGATCCCTTCGAATCATTTAAAATCAGCAGAAATGAGTGCATCTCTGGGGCTGCGCTTGGCCAATTTTTGCCTTTGCAATTTTTGTTTGCCTTCCCTACACGTAGCAGAGCTCTTAGCTAATCGTGTGTCACTGGACTTCTGGATTTAGAGACAAAGAAGCAGCTGGCCTGCTCTGTGCAAATAGCCTTGGTGCTCGGCCACAGTGGGGGCATTTAGAAAGCAAACAGCACATTTGACATGGCTGTCAAGGATCTAGATACAAATGGTACAAACGTCAAAGATGTCTGTCCATCCATCTACCTGTCCGTTCAGGAATGCCAAGAGCACCAGCCTACGGCAGGTCTGACACTCTTGTTTGTTCTGTTCCTGTCCATCTGACCTTGCTGTTTCAGACAGGCTATTTGTCAGTGCCAGAGAAATCTGCCGCAACAACAGAGGGAATATCTGGTGTCAGTATTCTCCAGCTTCTTGATGGAAATATCTCATTAGAGAAACTAAACCGGCGCTTTGATTGCTTGGAACGAAGCCGTTTGTTTTGCGAAAATCTCTAAGCTGTTATTCACTTCTTGTAAAGTTATAATGCCTCAAGTCTTATTCTAAAGCAGCCTTGGATAGCTGGAATGACTTGAAATTTGCAACCAATAAAAAAATTTTACAGCAAAGCAGAGCTGATCAGTGCTTCCTAAGTGCAATAATTAATCTTTTCTGTCAAAACGTCATCAGATTTTGCTGGATTTAAGAACAACAAAAATGTTTTATTGGAGAAAGTAATAAAACAAGACATTTCCATGGCTTCACATATATTTCGAATGCATTTGACATTTGTATCTTTTCCTGAGAAAATTTGGAGCTGAAACCCTTAATACACCCAGAACAAGCAGTTCATCCTGCAGCAGCCAGGTATTTTGTCACAATCGGCTTGGAGCTGCCTCAGACTTTGGCAGAGAACACCAAATGCAAAGGGGATGGCTGCTGTGCTGGTGTCCTATCTGAGGAAAGAAGCTGTGGACTTGACATATTGCAGTGTAGCCCATGTGAGGACACAGCTATAGAGTCAGGGAACACTAGAGACCTTTCTACCTCATTCCTATCCTATCTCTGCTACATTTTGTAAAACTAGATCTGGTTCACTCATGTAATGTTTAATTTACTTTGATCTGAAGAAATTCTGGTGCCCCAGTTCCCCTTATTACCTTTTAACATCTTGTTCACTGTACAGAACAAATTAAAAACACATAGCAGCAACTTACCAGCGTTACACAGGAAGTGCCTGGATGCTCTTCCAGAGCAGAAGGTTGGGGATTTGGATCATGGATGAGTCAAAAGGTGAAGAGAGGCTTTGTCTTAACATCACACTCCCAAGAACACTCACACTACCTATAGACAGCTCAGCTAATGCTTCTTAACATGTGGCAGTCGATGGGAAGCTTCAGCCATCTGTGATTCCTGCTTTCTTTCCCACAATTCGTTCTCTGTCCATCTTTCCCCCTCTCTGCTGCTCGCTTCCCCCTCTCCTGCTGCCCTGCAAAGTGTTTACTGCTGGGTAGTGGGATTATGACTTACCAATAATCCAGGAGATTATGACATCAGAGCACTCCCTCCATCACATCCTTTCAGCCTTTTCTGCTTTTTCCCTCATAAAATAAAGAGAAAAATCAGACCATTAGAAACACAGACATTCTCCCAGCCTCTCCTGTGGCATCACTGCTGCCCTGATTACATTTTTCCCTTTGCTTCCCCGTGGACATGTTGGTCAAAATATACGTCACACTGTGTGCACACACTGAAAAATGCATCACTGTGTGTCAGTATGAGCTTTGCATGCACAGAATTTTGTGACACAGTGCTTCTTGTGTTGATCATTCATAGACATAATTTTTCTGTTTGCTCATATGCATTTCAAAGCTTTCTCTTTAAAAACAGGGAGGCGGGGGTTGGATTTTATGTTTAAAATTTGTGACATATTTGTGTCATGTGTTCCTCCTCAGTTCTTCAGTCTTCATAATGACTTCATGCTATGGTCTAATTTTTGCAATAATGGCCAATTGACAACATTCTGACATTTTACAGGCTTGTAAAATTTTCCTTCCTTTGGGAAACTGCTAATTACCAGAGTTACCACAATAAACTAATCCTGCAGAAAGAGGGCAAGGCACCGCAGTACAGATCTCAGTCATGAAGAAGTTGGAATGTGCAAGTAATTAGTATTTTTCACAAATATTGCTTTATAAAAATCTACCTTCCATTGTGCTTTGCTCTCTTATGTAGTGCCCTCGGGAACCTGCTTGGCAATATTCACCTTACCTGTTTTCTTATCCTTACTAGTACAAAATAATATTTATACACACCACATCAAGTTCACTAACACTCGCTATGGATTATGGTTAACATACTGCAGTTAATTTGCTGGCATACCTAATTATACAACTGAATACATCAAGCATTAAGTTATATCTACCTGACAGCCATTGATGTGGCTGTTAAACAACACAGAAGCACCCAAGCTACCTTTAAATGAAGCTCAGGCACTGCTACCAGCTTAGCCACGCCGAGCCACGTGGACTGTAAAACCAGTCAGAATAACCCCATAAATATCTGAGTCCCCAGCCTGTGCCAAGCCCTGGGTTATGAAACCAGAATACTACCAGTAAGCAGCTGGGAGGAAGGGATGGTCACCCAGCTCAGAATCAAGGTGGGCCCATTTACAGTGCTGGCAGAGATGTGCTGGGGTCTGAGATGCTGGGCTATGTACTGCAGTATGAGACACACAACCGTTTGTGCTACATTTATGCTGGTGTCAATAACGTCCAGCAAAAAGTACTTGGGGAAGCACTGATCATTGGAAGCACCACTATGAAACGTGCTGGAGTCCTTGCTCTTGGAAGGGAGGAACTGGGAGAATTACCAGCCATAAAACAGAAAGCTATCTGATAACAAAACATCCCAGTGTAGTTCAGAATCAACTGTAAGTCACAGGTAAATCAGAGAAAGCAAAGCAACAAGCAAAACAGAGAAAGCCATAAACCTTGAAGACCTGTGTATTGGTCCATATCTAACAACAAAAGTTACCTCTTCCTGTACAGCATATGATTAATAGATGCACAGGGCAAAAAGAGGCATAACTTCACTACAGTACATAGTGAGCCTTTCCCAGCACACTTGGGGCAGGTTTAATACAAGGGCAGTATTTACACTCGTAATATTCTGTGGGAAAATTGATCGTTTGCATTGGCACCACATGTAAGAAGTATTTCAGTGGGGTCAGGATTGATTCTGCTCCTCAGCAATGGGATCCTGCTAACATCTGGGGAAATATTTGAGTAAAATTTCTAAGGGGTCAGATCCTGTGAAAGACTTGACAACAAGGAGTAACTGCACATGAGCTCTACTCATTTAGCAAAGCAGAGCAGTTATCAGACACACAGGGGTTGGGAAGGATGGGGTTTTGATGTGAAGCATCTAATAAAGAGCTACAAAGATGGACAAAGACAGGGAGCACTAGCTGGGCACATTATTCCTTACTGCATCACATGTGTTAAATAAAATAAGGCCCAGAAGGAAGCACTGGAGAGTGGTGGAATTTAGGAAGACATCAGTGCTTTGCTGGCTAAATGAAGTGATGCCTTTTTATGGATGTTTTTTTTATGCATTAAAATGATTCCCTCCTGCTGGCAGGGTGATGACTAAGGACAGATCTGAACAAATAACACTGACCAGTTCTGTGCATGGACACGAAGCTTCCAGCTGCAGTTGATCCCTTCCCTGGCTGCTACTTTTATGGCCATGTGTACACCAGAGAATCAACACTTCAGCTTTGCAGCACTCTTTGTCATGTCAGGGTAATTAAAAGGATGCCACTGCACCTGGAAGAACTATAAAAATGTCCTTATAAAAGCCTCAACAGTATTTAATATTTTATTCATTGCGATGTTGTTGTGTTTTGCCTGCAGTAAAACAGCCTCAAGGAAGCAAGGCACTACAGCTAAAGGCAAGCAAACATTTTCCCATCAACACATTACTTGAGCTCAGAGCTTTTTTTTTGTCTTCCTATTTTGAATCCTTCTATCTAACAACCTTCCTGCTTTCAAGAAAGAAAGAATTACTTCGCTAGAAGCAAGAAACCAGGCAGAGTTTAATCTTCCATTCCTTTTAAATGTGTGGAAAGGCCTTGAAACAAAAACTTTACTTCCCAAGGAAATATATTTCATTTTTTGGTCTTACAATGCCTGAACTGCCTTGCATATAATGTTCTCTCCTGTTAGTGACTCAAGACCTAAAAGGAAAAATAAAGTTTAATATATACAGAAGGACATTGATTTCTGTGTTACAGAAGGTGTTGCAAGCCAAACTGCACAAGCATAGACATAGCTATTAAGGGAAAATTATGAAGTTGCCAACACATGTTCAAAGTCACACAATTGGTTTCCAAAATACAGGTTCAATGTGTTCTTATTTGTCTATACTTTTTGATACACTGGGAAATCATCTGTTATTAGCGCTTTATTTTATAAACACGGAGGCTGGAAACTTTGTTTGGTTGAAATTCTTCTGTGATAACAACTCCAGAAGACAAATTCCAAATTCCAGAAAATCACCACCAAGCCACATGTCCTGTAGTACAACTACGCATTTTGGCACCATTCACAAATGAAGTGATGTTTCCATACATGAAGTTTCCCATAAGCACACTCTGTTTTTTCCATCCACCAACCTTAGGCAGGGAGTCCTTTTTTCTGACACAAGATTTACAGACATCTTGCAGCACAGAGGGAAGTAAAAGCAGGCTGGGACATCAAGAAGTCCCCACTATGTTCTCATATGCTCGGATCATACACACACACACAGGATGTCTGACTCATCCTAAATCCTGGATGTAAGTAGAGGAGTCCCAGGTGGAGACTGTGCCAAGAGTGCTATAAGCAACATGACTAACATCCATCATATGCAGTTTGTTTTCCCATCTTTATTTTTTTTTTTTTTCCCAGGGGAAGAACTGCACGTCTTGGCAGATACCATCGCATTTCCAAATACAAAGAGCTCTAAACTCTAGGAACTGCATCCAGCACAGGAAGCTCAGAGTGGTGATGTTTGAGACAGCAATAAGTTCCCAAATTAGTCTTGGAGACATGGATAGAGCCTTTCACCCACCTGGCTGAGCTGCACACTCATTTTGCAGCATCTTGTTTGTCCAAGAGCATGGCTGCCAGCCTGTAAATTAGTCTGAATGGTGAGGTATGCCAAGCTCAGCCTTTCTAGCATCTTGCTATATGGCTTAGATTTCATCAGGGAAGAAAAATTAGAGAAAGCTTGGAAGAACAACATTAAGAACCTGATCTAGTGGGAGGTGTCCATGCCTACAGCAAGGGGGGGTTGGAAATAGATGATCTTAAAGGTCCCTTCCAACCCAAACCATTCTATGATTCTTAAAATGCAATCAACCTAATCACAGCTTCACCAAGTGAAGGCAAAAAGAGATGAACATGCCAAGCCAAAGCCAAACCCATGGCACATTCAGCCACATGCTGAAGGCACAGTCTCAGGGGGCAATCAGCCCTATTGTGACTTCTGTCCAACACCAACCTACTGACACAACCTAAAAAACAAAGCCTAGGAAAACATAGATAGCTTTTGCTAAAAGTAGTCCTATGTATCCAAACATGGAGTTATTTTGTTGTGAAAAATCAAACCTCACTTTTCAGATGGAAAAGGTAAGTCACTCACTTGGTTTCACTGAGTGCTTTCAGCAACAGAACCAGTGTTGGCCATTCTGGTCATTTTACCATGTTTCAGTAAAGAATAAAAAAAAGTAAGAAAGAAGAAAAAGGCATTGTGTGTAGCTCATAAAAAATAGGTGCGCTGAGTTTCTAATCTTTGTGGGTGTGCCTTAACTTTAGAAAGCCCAAAGGCAAATAGAAAACATGCATTTTATTGTTTTTGATCATCCTTGTGATTTTAAGTCATGCATGACTTTCCTAGGAGGCCTGACTCACAGCATTCTAATATGCTCATATTGGGTTGCAGCATCCCACAAAAAATGAGAACAACTGACAGAGCTGTAGGGGGATGCCTACCCAGGTGAGAGGCTCAGGGCAGCCCAGGAGGTAACAAACATTCAGCATTTGCCAGCATTTGCAGTTACATACCCACAGCAGGCAGTTGGAGCCCAGCACTCCTGGTGTTTATGGGAGCAGAGAAAGTTAACAAAGAGCAAGGAGAGGCAAGGAATTCCTGCCTAATGCAAAGATAGGTGAAAGTTTATCCTGAGAAAAACAGACTGAATCTCTAAGTGCTATCAGTGTGTTAATGAAAGGTTGGGACAACAGAGAGTTTATATTGCAGAGCTGGTAACAAGAGATTCTTGTTTTTGTCCTGATTTCACCAGTGACTCACAGAGCAGGGTTAGGCTTCTTCACTTCTCATTTCAGAGTGGGTTTGACTTAACTGTAGACCCAGATGCTGTCACATTTACTCATGTTGAATAACACTTTCTTCTCTGATGGCAATACGAAGGATAAAGGAATCAGTTACTACCAGGAGC